CGCTGGGAGGGGCAAGGCTGGGGACAATCCTGAGGTGTAAGGGGAGCAGTATGATGCTGGGAGAGGCTGAGGGAGAAACCGGGAGAAGTGGGAAGTGAGGGAAATGCTGAGCGTAGTGGGGTGACCTGGCGACAGTGGAAGGGACGCATGGGAGGAGAGGACACAGTACAGCAGGGGAGCTGGGCTGGGAGGGCTTTCCATGGGTCTGAGCTCAGCCTTGGAGTTGAGGAAATACCTGACCACCCACCCAGGGGACACCCACATGCACTCATACCTGTGCACACATGAGCTGGCACCTTCATACCCAGACTTGCCCTGTGTGCACAGGAAGGCTCAGGATCCAGCAAGGCTCCATGAAAACCACGTGCCTGTGACTGCACACATGGACACATGTGCACATTCACATGCCCATGCTAACACATGCACATGCTGTACATGTATACAGGACACAGTCTGACTCCACAGAAATGGTCCCTGCAATATGAGTGTGTGTCTGTATATGCTCACACACGGATCCACATGTATTTGATGTGTGTTCACAATATCCCAGTTTCATAAAAATCTGCTCATGCCCTAAAATACAGGTATGTACCCATACATACATGCTAGGATCCCAAATCTCTAAGAAACACATATGTATACATAAGCACATGCCAAGCTATGTGTGTACAAACATGAAAGCATTTTCCTGGACACTCAAAGCAGCTCCTTTGCACAGGTGAATGATGATGCATACAGAAACATGCTCATGTATATAGTTTCACAGGAGTGTGTACATGCATGCAAGAAAGAAAATACACATGCCATAACACTGCACCACACAATCTGTAATACTGCCAACGATGAATTTAAAAGTAATAATGAAAAAACCCAGACTTCTCATCATACTAAAATGGTTCTCTGTGATAATATTTGAACCCAGAAATTGAAACAGATTTTTTCCCTTTTTATTTTTATTGAACTTATTGGGGTGACATTGGTTCACAAAAACATACAGGTTTCAAGTATACAACTCAATAAAACATCATCTGCACACTGAAAAAAACCGCATCACACATACACACCAACGTGTGTTTGAACCTGACACATCACCTACAAGCCCACACGTACCTAAGCTCACACATATTAGCATGTTCCACATACAGTCACATCCTCTTCCCCAGCACATACATGCAGACCCTCACCTGCATTCAGATACTGCACATGAGCACATGTCCTTCATGCATGCACACACACACGTACACACATCTGCCTGCCCTGGCAACACAAGCAAATATGCATGCAAGCTTACATAAATGCAAGCTTACTTACCTCACACCAACACATGGGAAACTGCCTTCCCTCTGCCTCCTCTCATTTCTCTCTTTATGTGGAATCCATTGTTCCCACCACCACCAATTCACTTGCTAGGTCTTAGCAGAGTCCTGAGGCTGCAAATAACAAGGACCACCTGGTTCCTTCATGCAGCCATTCATATATTTACTCAGTAAGCATTAATTGAGCACCTACTATGTGCTAGAGACACTGTTCCTGGCTCCAAAAATCCAGCCCTACTTCTGGCCTCATATTGGTGGGTCAGGGTGGGAAGGAAAGGGAAGGGCTGAGGGAGCCTGGGAGGGGGCATCCAGTGTTCTTTTCCTCTGGGAAGCTTGCCCTGATATCCCCACCACCAATTGTTTGGTCTCAGAAGATGAGGGGACGCTCAGAAGAAGGAAGGTATTGCTCTAGGTGGAGGGAACAACACATGCAAGATCATGGTAGAGTAGATTCAGTTCTAGATTTTCCTGTGTGCTGTGCCTCATGGCATTTGGCCAGGCCACTCAGTGTTTTAAAGGCTCCATAAATATTTGATGAATGAATTTTGTGTACAAGTTAGCAAACTCATATAAGGATGAGTTGGCCTCACAACTAATAATATCAACAAGAAGCACCATTTACCCAGCGTTCTGCAAGCATCGCTGAGGACTTTTGTGCTCATTGGCCTCTTTAATCCTCATAGCAAGTCATTTTACAGATGAGGAAAGCTGGCTCGTACCACATGCCTCGGACCACAGCTTGCCTGGTCAGAGGTGTAGCTGCCTGACTCCACAGCCTCTACTGGAAGTGGGAGGAGCTTAAAAGATCAGCCTCCCCTCAGCCTCCAGGACCTGGGAGACACCCAAGTCCCGTCCATGGGGTGAGAATCTGTGCTGGGATTGCCTTCCTTCATTCACTCAGTAAACAGACATGTCATGATCTCCTCATTCATCGTGGCTGTTCTCCTGCCCCTCCCCAGAGAAGCATTCCCAAGTCCCTCTGCTCCTGGCTGCCCTGTTTCTGATACCACCCACCCAGGAGGTGTGTGCCTCTGGGCCTTTGCTGTCACCACCCTCAAAGGATCCCTTCAAGGTGGCTCCGACTCATCTTCAGGGCTTCAATCTTAGCTGCTTTCATACCTGGACTTCACTCTCCACCCACACAGAATGGGCTTGCTCTGTAAGGCGCCAACCAGGACATCCTGAGTCCAGCAGGTCTGGGTTGGTATCCCTAGCAAGTTCCATACCCTCTTCATTCCTCAATGTGCCCATCTGTAGAATGGGCACACTAATAGTGCCCACTGCCTAGGTTTGTTGGAACTGACCAGTGAGATGAGGCACACAGAGCCATTGACACAATACTTATTCTGTAGAAAATTTTAATAAGTGTGAGCCAAAGACAGGAAAAAAATCAATGATGGTGTTTTGATTAATGGGGCTTAACATCTTTCTTGAAGGGGGTCCATGGGTGTAGGACATTTCCTGAACGCTCACTGCGTTCTCAGGCCTGAAGAGGGCTCAGGAGTACACGGGTGGCAAAAGAGGTGCCG